GCCCTTTCCATGCTTTCAGAGTAATCGCCGTCCCTTCAGCATTCACAATATCAGAAAGAGTGACTGCGTGCAGGAAGATCCGACACCAGTTGAGCCATTTCAAAGTAAGTTGGTCCACCAAAGAGTCAAGGAACAAGTCGACTAGCAGTTGGTCTCCTTGGCGTAGGGGCTGAAGAGAAGGGGAATCAAACTCCAGGTGGATGGAGAGAGAGTCGAGTTCACTCCAGGTCCGCTTTGCCCACGTGTCAGATGCCAGGATGGAGGTGTTGGCATAGACTTGTTGGAAGAGGCCGTATGAGGTACCGGTTTCAAGCTGATGTGCCTGAAGGAGTGTATATATATAACTGAATCATTAATTGGTTTTTATGCTACTTCTAGAGTATCCAACTGCCCGTGTAATACGGCTGTAGAGGCCAGGAACTATGCTGCTTTTAGTCAGATAAGTTTGAACCACGTTGAGGCATTTTTCAAGAAAAAAGTTGCTCTAGTCAATCATGTCAGGGGACAGATTGGCGCTCCCACTGTTGGTGGGGAAGTACAAACAAGATGCAAGGATTTCTCCTGGGATACAGAGGAATTTTGTGGGTACCTTTTCCAAGGAAAGAATTGAATGCAATTCTCTCAAGTCATCTGTCAATGGGCAGATTGGCGCTCCCACTCTGTTGGTGGGGATTTGGAAGGGTAGACCAAGAAAATCGGTCTGCTGTATCTTTTCCAGAGAAAGAAACAAGACAAATATGCTGTACAACATGGAGGAAATGCAAGCATTGGGGTTGTCCTTCACCAGGTCAACCGTCAATAGGGTGGTAGAATTCGAGCGGGTTGTTGCCTCCAGACCTTCCTGAGCGTGCTCAGGTGCAGTCCTTGTCGATTTCAAAGCCGTCTCTTGTGATTTTGCTTCATTCGAGCCCATGGTTGTTGGCCACTTCTGATGGGCAGCGCAGACATCATAAAATAGGATTGTTGTTGTGTGTAAATAGTTGAAAATTTTGTTCTGGGTCCGACCTTGTTTTGTGGACCATCCAATTGAGAATCTGTCCAAAGAATGATCAATGGTTGGTGGAAACGCCGTTGTCAAAGCATGCCAAACAATTTCAACAAATTCCATGGGGTCATTGCTTGGATTGAGTTTCTTGGGAGAGGCAACAAGCGGCTGTCCTTTCAGTGCGCCATCCTCGGCGATTTTGGAAGGAGGGGGTTGCTTGTGTCCGCTCTTGGGAGGTATCAAAGCATGCCAAACGGTTTCAAACAGTTCCATTGGGTCATCGCTGGGATCATCCTTTACCAAGTCAACCGTCAGTTGGGTGGTCAAATTTGAACGGGTTTTTTCCTCCAGGCCTCCCTGACCTTGATCAGTTGCAGCCTTTGTCAAGTTCAGAGCCATCTCATCTGATTGATCATCATCAGAGCCCATGGTTGAAGTCCTCAATCAAGCACTTTTAACAGCAAAACCGGTGTCGCTACACGGTCATTGCGTAGATAAAGTACTAGAGAAGATGACTTTTTGTTTTTGCAAAATGCGTGATTTTTGTTTTTTGATTTTTGAAACTGAATTTTATAGAGATTCCAAAGGAGCTGCTAATGCACAATCTGAGTATTGTGTTGCATATTGATCTTGTTTTTGTCAACAACTCATTCGGGCTTACGACCATTGATGGGAAAGTGAGATACCAATGCTACATTCCTTTGGCATCAAGATCCAAGACTGCTCTGATGCCCAACTTACGGCCATTGATGGGAGTGTAAGATACCAATGCTACATTCCTTTGGCGTCAAGATCTAAGACCGCGTTGTATGACGCAATCAAAAAATGTTTTTGGTCGTATAATGCACGTGACTTCACGGTGGAAAAGATTTATTGCAATGCGGAATTCTGTCCGGTATTTGAGCCTGTGAAAGATGAACTTGAAGTTCACATGAACTACGCCAGCAGAGGCAAACATGATCTGAAGGCAGAACAAAATAACCAACATTTGAAAGCGTTGTTTTGGGTTCACGTTCATCGAATCCCATTCAAGGCGATTCCGAAGAAGTTGACTGTGGCACTTATACTGAGAGTTGTAAAAATATCCAACTACTACCCGGCAAAGGGGGGACTGTCTGAATACTACAGCCCGCATATGATTATGCATCAGCGAATGGTTGATGCCTCTAAACAATTTGTTGCCGAGATTGGTGCATATGTCCATAGCTATGGGCATGATACCAAGAACAATATGGCTGCTCGAATGATCGAGGGTGTCTACATGGGACCCACTGACGATATTCAAGAAGGGCACCGTATTTATGATCTGAATACAAAGTGCAAGGCATGGCGTACAAAGATCAAGGTTCTTCCAATGACTGATCAAGTCATCAAGATCATTGAAGAAGATGCAAGATTGGAAGGAGTGATGGAACTACGCACCTATTCCAAGTGAAATGGCGAGCTCATCCTCGATGGTGATTTGCTTAAAGAGTGGACCCAGATGAACTGTGGGATGAAAACTATGTGCCAGTAAACAAAAATAAAAGACTGAGTGATGTAACCCTTCAAAATGAAAATATTCCAGATGACGAACTTGATGAATTACTAATAGATGATGAAGCTGACATAATGGAAGTGAAGTTCAACAGGGAAAGGAACCCAAGATACGATAGCGAAGCGAATCAATATGAAGATGAGCTAGAAGATGAAATGTTTGATAGAATGTTCAAGAAGATCAAGGCTAGACAAGATGCCGAAGATCTGATGGATGAAGACTATCAAGAACACGAATGGATAACTGGCAATGAAGACATGGACTATGAAGACGATTATGAGTCCGAATTAGATGATGATGAAGCCAAGCAGATGCTAGACGAACTGGCAGCTGAATTAGTAGAACTTGGGAAACCTGACAAAGAAGAAATTCTATTCGACTTCAATGAAGAAGAAGAAAAAGATGATGATGGTGATAATGCACACAAAGATGTGGTAGTTGATTCGGAAGAGGAAGATAGTGTTGCTCGCACAGTAGTGAGATTCGCGGACACAGATGATAATGAGTCCGACACTGAAGGAATTGTGAGAAGTTACAGTGACAACGGTGTAGAGGAGATTGGAGCAAAAAGAGTACTTCGTCCAAGACACAATCGATCCTATTTCTCACAGGGAGTCAAGATGAGACCCACTGAGAGATACTTGTCAGATAATCAACTCCGTAGCTGTAATGAGAGCCTCAACGCTCTAGCTACCTCTGGAGTAAATCTGAGCTCGAATCTACGTCGGCTATGGATTGCCTACAATAGGAACAGGTGCCAGTGATGCTGGGCTTCTACCTGTGAAGAAACGGGAACGAGACTCCACAGCAATGGCTTAAAACAAACTCAGCAGCGGTACCAACATTATGAGCTCCACCTTACTAGTCGACATGAGAAATTAGCTATAGCTTTAGTATCCTTAATATTTTTTCTTCCCATCCATATGATTGCTTATGACGATCGAAACATCGGATCAATTCATTACAGTAACTGGCAACAAATGTTTCGACCTGCTGATCTGCACTGGCAGAAGCTTCTGGAGGATGGATAGGGTTTCCCATTACATATAGAAGGCGCTTTCGGAATGGTATGGGAAGACCATACTTTCCATAAAATAGCACCAAACTAGTGCGTAACAATAGTGAGATCTTTTCGATTATTCGGGGGAATTGAACGCGCTTCAATAGTTTTGTACTTCCAAAACAGTACACCGGAATCATTGGTACGTTGTTCTTCATCGCCAATCGAAATATTCCCCTGCGAATAATTATATACTCCTCATTTGGATGAGCGTTTGGTTTTGGGTAGCCCTCAAACATTTCTGCAATTCCTCCTGGTGCTAACCCGATCCTTGCACCTGATGACAGGGCACTATCGACTTGTGGTCGAGAAGCATCACTATAGTATTGCACGTGTATGGTTAGACAGTCAACAAACTTGACCGATGTCACGTATCTCTTTTTTGAACCTTACACAGCTCCGACCCACTTAAGAACATCTCGAACAAAAGGTAACAGCTTTGTTGCAGTAGCAACCACGGGGCGTATTTTTCCAAATGCGACGCCCGTGAGTTCAGAGAGCGTTGCAAAAGCCAAACCAAAAGGGAAGATGCCGTGAGGACTAATTCCAACTATAGCCTGCTTCTCAAGGAGCTCTCTAGAATAATATGTTTCGGCATCCACAACAATCTCCAAAGCAAAAAAACGCATCCACGATCCCCAAAGCTTCCATTTCCTCACTTTGATCCTCTCCCCAATATCCGGTTTGCGATGTGGGCCAACAGCGTACATTGCTGTCAAAAATATTAGTCCTGCCGTATAGAGTGCTCTTTTCCGCCTCTGTTGTTTCGGGATATTTGTTAACCTTCGTACCGTCCATCCATACAAAGCTGGCACCCAAAATAGTCCACCAACAAAGAACAAGGACGACAAATACACTACTAATCGATCATAGTGCGAGAATTCTCTTTCATTGACACGGATGAGGAGTCGACTCCCTCGTGGAAGCCTTGGATACAGTGAGTGCTTTGCCATCAATTTTACTGGTACGACAATAGAAATCTATTATTTGGTTGCGGGGCGAGCGGGTGATGTAGCAGGACCGGAGGATACCGGTAGGGAATGAACCTGGGACGGCCGGGAATCAACATTTACTCCTAAAAATTGTATGCTAAATTTCTATTTCCCGGCCGTTCCTGGCTGAGAATGGCAAAAGATTTTGGTTCGTTTTGCTAATGAGGCAGTGGGAATCCCCGGATTTCTCCCCTAGTTGCGAGATTTTCCCACAGCTCAATTTTTCCCACAGCTCAATTTTTCCCACAACTCAATTTTGCTTCCCACAACTAGTTGTGGGAATTCCCTCAACAGTTGTGGGAAAATTGTCATTTCTACACAGAAAACCACGTAGGATATGTACTGAGACAAATTTGAAGTTTCCCACAACTCTAATTGTAGTTGTGGGAAGTTTCCCACAACTCTAATTGTTTTATTGGGAATTATGGGAAAACTGTCCGTTCTACGGAAAACTGTCTGTTCTACGCACAAAACAACGTTTGATATATGTACTGACTAGAAAATAGACAACTACATATGATGTTTCCCAAAAACTCTAATTGTTTTCGTGATATTTCGTGATACATTTAAAGGCAAAAATAACGGACATCTGAGCAACGGAAATTCCCACAACTAGTTGAGGGAAATTCCCACAACTAGTTGTAGGAATTTCCCACAACTATTTTTTAAGATTCCTACAACTATTGTGATTTTCCGAAGTCGTGTTGATAGTGTTTTTTTTTCTTTTTTCCCCAAAACAAAAACACCATACCCCCGTAGTTCATGAGATAGCATCGTTCGTTCTCAATACTGCAGCAAACAAGACAAGAAAGGTGTCGATAGCTTCGTCTTTATCTGCTTGTTATTCTGATGTAAGTAGTTTGTATGGATTCGGTGAAAAAGTCTTCATTTATGCCCCATAAGGGTCCATTTTCATCGTCATTTCATTATCATTGATCGATTGACAATGACGGTGCGGTCAATTCGCCTTTCGATGACATCGCAACGGTGCCAATGCCATCTTTATGATATGAGTGAAGACTTGGCAAAGTGTCTTTGTCGTTGTACTCTTGGTTGTGGTGTTGGAGCTGCTTGATGCTTCGGTATTTTCAACGCCGAATCTCACCTATTGTTTCGTTTCTCATGTTGCAGCATGCCAACGTATTCTCTGCCATCTGACCGGCAGCGGGAGGAGCGAGGGCAGTTGGCAACACAACGCCATCAAGAACGTGCTTACATTGAGGAGCAAGCTCATGTATTAAGACGTAGTGGAGGATATGCAATTTCAGCAAAACTTGTGCAACGTACTGCCATCCAGAAGGCATTTGAATACTTTCAAGACGAAACCTGGGACTTTGGCTACAAATCGGGCAAACGAATGGACAGCGCAGCTCTCAAACGCATTTTGAATGAAGTGAGAGTTATCACTGGTTATGATGTTTCTTGGCGACAGTTTCGTGACTGGCTGACATACTATCTTCAGTTTGGCCATCTCCCATCTCGAAAGAAAGCTTGGAAGGGAGAGCAAGGCCGATCAAAGCGATTGTCGTTTACTGCAAATGATGATGAGTGTCTACAAAGAATAATCGAAGAGCAACCTCAATTGTATCTGGATGAGATTGTGACGGAGATGAAGAAGTTGAGAGGCAAAATTTGGCATCCGTCAACACTTTGGAAGCGAATGCACGACCTTGGATATTCTTTGAAAGTGGCGGTGCATCGTGCCAGACAAGCTAGCGAGAATGAACAGGCTCTCTTCTACCAGCGACTCGACCAATTCGTATTGGATCCTCAACAGATACTTCTCATTGACGAGACTCACAAAAGTCGTAATGCAAGTCGACGACGTCGTGCTTGGGGGAAAAAGGGAATTGCAACTGTGATTCCTTCCTACTTTGAAGAAGACTTCCTACAACAATTCACTATAATTGGTGTCGCCAACATATTTGGCTTTGTACCTGAAGCTTGTGAAATAGTTCACCGAAACGAACGCCTTGAGAATCGAGGCACTGTCGATACTGAAAGGTTTGAGCTTTTCATTGAAAAGAAACTCGTCCCAATTCTAGGGAATTATGAAGAGAAGGAGCCTAATAGTGTTGTCATTTTGGATAACGCAACAATACACATGTCCGATCGAATTGAAGAGATGATAAATGATGCTGGGGCCATACTGCTATTCACAGCGCCGTATTCGCCAGACATCAATCCAATTGAATATTTCTTTTCAACTTACAAAAAGGGGCTTGCTCGGAACTCAAAGAAAGGTCTATGTATGTTCGACGCTCACTTTGATGCAATTCATCATGTCACACCCGAAGCTGCAATGAACACCTTTCGTCATTGTTTGTATCCTGGAAGTGACGAATTCTGTGAGAGATATGGGCAAAACGACGATGACGACGAAGAGTTGTTCATGATCATGACAGTAATAGCACTGTTCATTTGGCGGAAGCAACACTGATCTTTGCGGTAAGGTGCCTAACTATTGAATAAAGACATAAATAGCAAAATTGATTACAACAAACTACAGCTGCTGAAAAGGGTTCACCCTTACTTGTTTTTCACCCAGTTTGAAAACGTCCGTCACCAGGAGCCGCACATACACTGTGGGAGAATCGTCTCTGATTCTTCCATAGACCGACTGGACAACTCCGACGACTGTCTCTTTCTGAAAATGTTTCAGATGCATTGATGCCTTGAGACTATCCTGTGCAGTAAGAGCAAGATTGACCTTCCACTCTTTGTCTCCTTTCGTTATTGCTTCGTTCAGGTCTTCATCAACACAGAAAACAGGTTTTAGAGTATCGATGACATTTTCGCGGGCACATACTTCGCCCATTGTCGTATCATCCAAATCCAATTTCACATAGCAGGGACCAGTTTCCGTGGTTTCATTGACAAAGGCAATCCAACACGAATTGATATCCTGGGCATTGTTTGTAGTTGTACCTATCACAGAAGAGGGTGCTGGGGAACACAGCGTTTCCAACATTGGGGTCATCGCGGCAGACATATCTTCGTATTTGTTCTTTTTCTTCTTCTCAAACGACGGTGGGCGGGTAGGAATTCGAGAGTCAAGAGGAGCATATTCACCACGGATAGGAATTTTCCCATAAAAATAGTTTTCATCACAAGATGATGGATTTATCTCTGGTGGAAGTTCTTCCAAACTGGGCCAGGAACTTTCATTATCATCTTCACAAGGGAATCTTTCGTCAATCCAGAGAATATCGTTGGCCTGTTTCCTTTGATAGTATCCAAGAAGATACGTCATATGCTCTTTTGTGAAAGCATGATACATTTTTGACTGTGGGCTAGAGTAGAGCCTGTCAAAGTACTGTTGCAAGTCACGGGCCACTACCACTTGCCCGCCCCGCCTTTCAGCTCCAGTTCTTGCACGTAGATCTTTTGCCTTTTCGGGTGTGGCATACTTAGTGAAAGGATCTTGTGATTCCAAGAGATCCTCTTGGGTCACAACACTTTCATCTTCGCCATAGAATTCAATATCATTTGACTTCCTGGCACCAAGGGAAACCCATATGTCAATGTCCATTTGCTTTGCTTTCGATCTTTTTGATTCAACATACTCCCAAAATGTGCTTGTCTGTAAAACCAAAGACATCTTCTTGCCGTTTCTCCTATCCTGCAGGTATAGACCCGCCGTTTGTGCAACTCCATTGCATGAGGGCCCCTTATATGATTGACAATCAAGGGCTTTTAGCTGAACTTGACGGCGAATGAAACCAATTGGCGGTATCTGCCTTGGCTCGTCATTGATCTCCGTCGAGCAATCCAGAGTACAATTATCTGAAGTTTTGCCATCCATCACTGTGTAGTCCACTTGCTTGGTTCGGTAGTCTACTGTCTTGAATGTTGGACCTAGCAGGTGGATGTTCAACTTGCAACGTCGTAGGTCATACTGACCAATACTGTCACTAGATGCATGTGATCGATCATCCTGAACTTTTTCTGCACATCTTACAACCAGGTCCATAAAGACTGGATACGAGAATGTATCCAAGTTGTCCTCGTCCTCGTCACCCTCCGCCATTCCAGCTGGAAGCTCAGTCTCGCAATTGAGATCATGAAAGGCCCTAGTATCAAATGCTGTTTTCCAAGTTTTTTCATTTGAAATGTGAGTAACATTGGTAGTGCCGTTTGGTGGTTCAGCCTGATTCTGATTTTCACGGCAGAATAGAATGGGCTTTTGAGCGGAGTCTAAAGTGACTTTATCAATCTCAAGATCCGAGCAGTCTCTTTCCACAATATCAGAGACGGCAATATAAACGTCTTCTATGTTTGATTCTGCATTCAAGTCGGTCCTGAAGAAAGTTTCAGTCATATTTTGCATAACATACTTATGGCTTTGCTTGGGGAACGCTACTGTATCGCTTCTGCTTTTCTTCTTGCAATGAAGTCGAATGACAAGAAATGGCACACCAGTCATAGTTCTTTTTGCGCGTTTGGACGTCCATTGTCTTGCTGGTTCCTCTGTGTCACTTTCAGACGAAGAAGAGAGCTCTAACACCTTTTTAGCACAATGTACTTTTTGCCTTTCAGATGATCTTCGCGACATGCTGCAACATGAGAAACGAAACAATAGGTGAGATTCGGCGTTGAAAATACCGAAGCATCAAGCAGCTCCAACACCACAACCAAGAGTACAACGACAAAGACACTTTGCCAAGTCTTCACTCATATCATAAAGATGGCATTGGCACCGTTGCGATGTCATCGAAAGGCGAATTGACCGCACCGTCATTGTCAATCGATCAATGATAATGAAATGACGATGAAAATGGACCCTTATGGGGCATAAATGAAGACTTTTTCACCGAATCCATACAAACTACTTACATCAGAATAACAAGCAGATAAAGACGAAGCTATCGACACCTTTCTTGTCTTGTTTGCTGCAGTATTGAGAACGAACGATGCTATCTCATGAACTACGGGGGTATGGTGTTTTTGTTTTGGGGAAAAAAGAAAAAAAAACACTATCAACACGACTTCGGAAAATCACAATAGTTGTGGGAATTTTTGGCAAAAATCTGTTCCCACAACTAGTTGTGGGAAATCGCGTTAAATATCGCGGGGACGAAATAAAATGAAAAGGGGGAATTCCCACTGCCTCATTGCGAAAGTCTTCGAACCATCCGACTATTGTTTTTTTTCAGAATTTATTATACATCCTGGTCTCTTTTGACTTGAAGTGATGATCCAGAAAACTCACAGTATTTTGGTATCCTGGGGTGTCAACATTTGAATTATCAAATGAATGGTGTCACTATACCGGTACCCTGGTAGTCAGTCTGGAGCAGTTGGACAAATTTTTCATTTTTTCTCTCGATGAACTCACCTGAACCTGGAGATCACTTGAGAACTCCGCTTCGAAGAGCATCATACGTCCATGTTTCTGATTTAACAAGTGCGTACAATATCGATCATGGACTGCTCGAGCAAGAGCTTAGTAGAACAAACTCGGATAGCAAAAGTGAAAGATCCGGACGGGGAGCTATTGAAACAGATAACCAAGTAGACACCAATAGCGTTGCTGTAGACTTGGATGTGGCTTCAGCCACTACTTCGCAGAAGAGGTTACAGCCACCTCGTGGGGGTTTCAATCTTTGTGTGTACGTCCCTTGGTTGTTCGGTTGTTGCTGAGAAAGTTTTACCTAATATTTTGGTTTGTTTTCAGGCTTGTTGGAAACGTCAATATCGTTGTGGACAAGCGTCGCGTAGATGGGTCAAGAGTAAGATTAGCGGAAATTGAGATCGGTGATGAGACTGGAACAGTCTCCCTTCGGGCACGCGACGAACAGATAGATGTCTTGGCGCAAGTTTCAGCACGTGCTGGGGCTGTGGTGCTGCGAAACTGCACGTTAGAACTGTTTCAAGGCAGGCACATTCGACTGGCGATTACAAAGTGGGGGAAAATCTCGGTATATCCGGACAGCATTGCGAGTACACCACCTCCGCCTTCGAAAATGAATCTCGAGCGCAATTTCTCTCGAATTGACCTCACCATAGTTGCCAGTGAAATGGTTGATACGAATCCAGAGGCATATGCTAACAGACAATATCGAGTTATAGCTGAGGCTATCGAATCAAGCGGAAGACCAGCATCAGCAAAAGACAGTGGACAAAGCATCGCAAAGCACCACAATCATTCACGACGAAACAGTCGTGACCGACGCCATAATCGAGGGAAGCCAAATGCTTTTGCCAATCGATCTCATTACAGCATCGCAAAAAACGAAAGGCAAATAGTCCAGCCTAACCAGCTGAACTATCGTGATATGCACGGATATTCTAGATTTCCCGAGGGATTTCGAGTCTCGCATTATCCATATCCTCTTGGAAGGCAGCAGGAAGTTCTTTCACCCGCCCCAACACAACAGCTTCTGTTTCAGCACCAATACGAATTGCAACAGGCACACTACCACCAGCAGGGCTATGCACAGACGCAAGACCAAAATACACATGCTGTGAATCAAACAGCAGCATTCGTCCTTGATCCCAACAACAGAGGGACATTCGTATCCAATACTCTCAACCCACTGCCAGTTTCAAATGATGGGACTAGCCACCTTGTGCAAATCGGTGCAAGTCGTGAAACGCATGAGATGACGAGTGCCGTTCCTCAGATGAGTGGGTCAATACATATGGCGCAACGGCGCCCTGTTTCACCAGAGGAAGCACAAAAATCTTCCATAAGGATGAACCCTGATGCAATCACATTTGCTCCAGCATCGTATTCTCAGCTTCTCCGTAAGTGTGTTGCATATGTGTTGCCCACAACGGTCTGTTTAGTGTGGTTGCATTGGAGCATACTAACATTCATGTTCCAAAACAAAAACAACAGCGTTCTTTCCAACCTATCATCTACCGGTATCTCATTCAACGGCACTTCCCACATTTGGCCAGGTACCTCAATTTGCACACGCAAGTGAAATATCGTTCATACCTCAACCTCCACACCAAGTCCCATCGCCTGAACTACAAATACAAACAGGTCCAGCGAGTAAGCCTCAGAAGTACGCCCCAGTTATTCCAGATGGAAATGAAAATAGTGAGAAGAGACCAGATTGAGTGTTCAAGTCTGTACTACTACTGTATCGTGGCCTGATCAAGTCACCTCAAGCTCGTCAAGACTTTTTGCAAGCTACCTACCAGCTAACACTATTATACAGGGAATTCTAGAGCGGATTATTGTGGCTGGTCGTATTTAATACCACATACATACGAGTTTTCTTTTTTGTGAGGCTACGGTCGTACCACACACCACACTGGATGATCCCCAGGAGTTGGAGTGGTAGATTTATCCCTTACTGACTGTCATTTACAAAAAAACTACGCATCATCGCTACAGTACTATCGTAACAATACCAATACCAGGTAACGATTAAAGGGACTTTTTTACATCCTACACACAGGTACACCGGTACAGTGCCAAGTACCGGTACCGTGCCTACTGGTAAGATTCGAAGATAGTCTATTTTCAATTTCATGATAGATGATTGATTCTCTTGCCTAAAAAAAAAAAGAATATGTCAGGATTTTTTTTTCTGTATGGCGGTGCAACTTATGCGCCCCCTGCGCACCCTCCGGTGGACCTCTGACAAGACCTGGGGTGGGCCCACCGTGCACCTTCCCATCCACCCATCCTGCCTCCATACCTCACGAAAACCAATAATAACCGCATAAGAAAAACAATAATACATATTTTTTTAATTTCTTTTTCACAAAATAAATAAAACCACCATGTCTGCCGAGATTCTCCACCCAAACCTCGGTCCTCCACCCCCAGCCAAGCCCCAGCCCAAACCCAAACCCAAGAAACGAATCCCCCTAATCTCTAAAGCCGAGTACCAAGAGGGGGTCAAGCGTACCAAGGCCTTGATCACAGAGCTTGGTCTCAAGGTGTCAGAGACTCACCGCACTACCATCGTTGGTCAAAACCAAGACAGCCACCAAATTGCCACCGTGAGAGCAAAGGCCCAAACGGTCGACAGATATGCAAAGGCCCTGAAGGACTTTCTTGAATTTTGCTTCTTTATGGAAGACTACGAGTCCGCCATCATTCTAATGCGAGATCACTGTCCCGAAAACCCCCCACCTGTATCTGATGATACTGCCATCCTCTTTCTACGGTACAAGGTACAACTTTTGGACGAGACGGTACTCCACCACAAGTCTCACGTACCAGTTGTCTCCCGTGGCAAACCACTGAAAGCTGTAGGGTCCTGGACTGCCGTATCCACCATTGGAATCTTCAGATCCGCTCTCAGCCAAATCCACAAGGCCTACGACACCACCAGAGGTAGTTCCAGACATAAAAATGGTTCTTATTTTCTGGCCTGCAAAGAATGTCGCAAGCTGACTCTCGAACAGCGTCAAAACAACAAGTCCTGCGGAGCTCACAACGGGCATTGTCAAGCTTTTGGGGAGGGAAACGTCATCGAAAGTGAAACTTTTGGACAGCATTTTTCCATGATTGAAAAATACGCGCAACAGCACTACATGTCCAAAAGTAGTGCTTCCTTCCTCCCAAGTCAACTGAGAACAATTCGAGATCACTGTGCTAATGATGGATCCTTGGCCAAACTGATGCAATGGTGCGTCATCATCCTTGGCTGCCGTCTCTATCTGCGAATCGACGAGGTTCTCAGCTTGGAGACCGAGTCGTTTGTCCCCAAATACTTTGTCATCAAAGGGAAAACAGTGATTTCCCTTTGTGTGAAGATCAAGGGGAAATGTGATGGGCAAGAGAGACACTTTCAAGTGTACGACGACCCAAAATACCCTGAGTTGTCCCCTGTTCGGCCACTGCTATTATACATAGCGGCAACCAAAAGAACAGGTGGGTTCCTCTTCCCTAAGTCAACACAGATGTTCGATGCGAATCCAACCGCTAAGTATTACTATGGATCATTCTTGACACATATAGAATTCTTTGTCAAGTTGGTTGGCATGGACCTCCAGTCAGGAATGGACGGAGAACACCTAATTGCAGGCACCCACATGCTTCGCAAAACTGCATTTCTTCTTGCCTACTGGGCCATCAAATTGGAACAACTACAATCTGACAAAGAGTCCATTCCCACGTCCATACCATCCCATGAGGAGTCTGCCATTTTCAATGACGCAGCAATGAAGATAAGTGGGCAATCTACCAATGTAACTCTGCTTGCTGATGGAAGGCACGGAAGCCTATCAGTCCAGATGACCTATCTTGGCGACGCCGCAACATTGTTTGGATTGTTTCGCCAACTCAATCGTCTCTCGACCAATGAAATGGTTGGTCCCTACTTTCCGATTTTTATCAAACAACTTGGAAATCTTCTTCACATAGCCAACAATGGAAGTGGCACCTGTGGATTCAACAAAAAAAGTCTGCCCGAGTTAGCATCTTGGTTTGTGTTCGACCTTATGCAAGTTGACAGCGAAACTGATTTGGCTCGCAATATTCCAGAACTCTGCCGCAAGGCCAAGGCACTGAATCACGTCGAAAAAGAAGTTTCAACTGAAATTCTACTCAACAAACTCAAAAAACACTTACCACCCGAGCTGTTCACTCAGGCCATGACTCGAATGACAAGTCTGCCAACAAAATCAGGTGACACTACAATGACCGATTCCGATGTTACGACTAACACCATTCCACCAGCAACCCTTCAGTCTTCACTACCAAACTATCAGGAACTTTGCCGGAAAGCGAAGACAAACGAAGCCAAGCTTTCCATAGTCATACAAGCATTCACCCGCATGACTAAACCACCCCCCAAGAAGACACATTTGAAAGCAAATCGCTGGTACTACCACCAGATCCGTACTTATAGGTGCGTCCAAGGCTGCTTCAACGGAAACACCTGTGAGTTTCTGCAAAAGTGCAAAGAAAAAGGGATTCAAAATGTTACAGGCCGAATCTTCAAATGCCCCAATAAATGTGTCCACACCAAGTAATCCTATGTATTATATAATGGAATCAACTGTTTATGCAAGGCTTCCGTCTCCACTAGCGCTCGAGTTCCCTTTCGTCATCATTTCCTGACATGCTTACTTTCCAAATTCGGATGTGGTAGAGTAGCTTCCCCAATATCCGGCTGATTGTAGTCGCTAGTGGCTTGAAATCTCCGCCTTGGATATTCTCGGATGATAGTATCCTTGGTCGATCTAAGTTTTCCGTCTCCACTAGCGCTCGAGTTCCCTTTCGTCATCATTTCCTGACATGCTTACTTTCCAAAATCGGATGTGGTAGAGTAGCTTTCCCAATATCCGGCTGATTGTAGTCGCTAGTGGCTCGAAATCTCCGCCTTGGATATTCTCGGATGATAGTATCCTTGGTCGATTTAAGTTTTCCGTCTCCACTAGCGCTCGAGTTCCCTTTCGTCATCATTTCCTGACATGCTTACTTTCCAAAATTGGATGTGGTAGAGTAGCTTCCCCAATATCCGGCTGATTGTAGTCGCTAGTGGCTTGAAATCTCCGCCTTGGATATTCTCGGATGATAGTATCCTTGGTCGATTTAAGTTTTCCGTCTCCACTAGCGCTCAAGTTCCCTTTCGTCATCATTTCCTGACATGCTTACTTTCCAAAATCGGAAGTGGAAGAGTAGCTTTCCCAATATCCGGCTGATTGTAGTCGCTAGTGGCTTGAAATCTCCGCCTTGGATATTCTCGGATGATAGTATCCTTGGTCGATCTAAGTTTTCCGTCTCCACTAGCGCTCGAGTTCCCTTTCGTCATCATTTCCTGACATGCTTACTTTCCAAAATCGGATGTGGTAGAGTAGCTTTCCCAATATCCGGCTGATTGTAGTCGCTAGTGGCTCGAAATCTCCGCCTTGGATATTCTCGGATGATAGTATCCTTGGTCGATTTAAGTTTTCCGTCTCCACTAGCGCTCGAGTTCCCTTTCGTCATCATTTCCTGACATGCTTACTTTCCAAAATTGGATGTGGTAGAGTAGCTTCCCCAATATCCGGCTGATTGTAGTCGCTAGTGGCTTGAAATCTCCGCCTTGGATATTCTCGGATGATAGTATCCTTGGTCGATTTAAGTTTTCCGTCTCCACTAGCGCTCAAGTTCCCTTTCGTCATCATTTCCTGACATGCTTACTTTCCAAAATCGGAAGTGGAAGAGTAGCTTTCCCAATATCCGGCTGATTGTAGTCGCTAGTGGCTTGAAATCTCCGCCTTGGATATTCTCGGATGATAGTATCCTTGGTCGATCTAAGTTTTCCGTCTCCACTAGCGCTCGAGTTCCCTTTCGTCATCATTTCCTGACATGCTTACTTTCCAAAATCGGATGTGGTAGAGTAGCTTTCCCAATATCCGGCTGATTGTAGTCGCTAGTGGCTCGAAATCTCCGCCTTGGATATTCTCGGATGATAGTATCCTTGGTCGATTTAAGTTTTCCGTCTCCACTAGCGCTCGAGTTCCCTTTCGTCATCATTTCCTGACATGCTTACTTTCCAAAATTGGATGTGGTAGAGTAGCTTCCCCAATATCCGGCTGATTGTAGTCGCTAGTGGCTTGAAATCTCCGCCTTGGATATTCTCGGATGATAGTATCCTTGGTCGATTTAAGTTTTCCGTCTCCACTAGCGCTCAAGTTCCCTTTCGTCATCATTTCCTGACATGCTTACTTTCCAAAATCGGAAGTGGAAGAGTAGCTTTCCCAATATCCGGCTGATTGTAGTCGCTAGTGGCTTGAAATCTCCGCCTTGGATATTCTCGGATGATAGTATCCTTGGTCGATCTAAGTTTTCCGTCTCCACTAGCGCTCGAGTTCCCTTTCGTCATCATTTCCTGACATGCTTACTTTCCAAAATCGGATGTGGTAGAGTAGCTTTCCCAATATCCGGCTGATTGTAGTCGCTAGTGGCTCGAAATCTCCGCCTTGGATATTCTCGGATGATAGTATCCTTGGTCGATTTAAGTTTTCCGTCTCCACTAGCGCTCGAGTTCCCTTTCGTCATCATTTCCTGACATGCTTACTTTCCAAAATTGGATGTGGTAGAGTAGCTTCCCCAATATCCGGCTGATTGTAGTCGCTAGTGGCTTGAAATCTCCGCCTTGGATATTCTCGGATGATAGTATCCTTGGTCGATTTAAGTTTTCCGTCTCCACTAGCGCTCAAGTTCCCTTTCGTCATCATTTCCTGACATGCTTACTTTCCAAAATCGGAAGTGGAAGAGTAGCTTTCCCAATATCCGGCTGATTGTAGTCGCTAGTGGCTTGAAATCTCCGCCTTGGATATTCTCGGATGATAGTATCCTTGGTCGATCTAAGTTTTCCGTCTCCACTAGCGCTCGAGTTCCCTTTCGTCATCATTTCCTGACATGCTTACTTTCCAAAATCGGATGTGGTAGAGTAGCTTTCCCAATATCCGGCTGATTGTAGTCGCTAGTGGCTCGAAATCTCCGCCTTGGATATTCTCGGATGATAGTATCCTTGGTCGATTTAAGTTTTCCGTCTCCACTAGCGCTCGAGTTCCCTTTCGTCATCATTTCCTGACATGCTTACTTTCCAAAATTGGATGTGGTAGAGTAGCTTCCCCAATATCCGGCTGATTGTAGTCGCTAGTGGCTTGAAATCTCCGCCTTGGATATTCTCGGATGATAGTATCCTTGGTCGATTTAAGTTTTCCGTCTCCACTAGCGCTCGAGTTCCCTTTCGTCATCATTTCCTGACATGCTTACTTTCCAAAATCTGATGTGGTAGAGTAGCTTCCCCAATATCCGGCTGATTGTAGTCGCTAGTGGCTCGAAATCTCCGCCTTGGATATTCTCGGATGATAGTATCCTTGGTCGATTTAAGTTTTCCGTCTCCACTAGCGCTCAAGTTCCCTTTCGTCATCATTTCCTGACATGCTTACTTTCCAAAATCGGATGTGGTAGAGTAGCTTCCCCAATATCCGGCTGATTGTAGTCGCTAGTGGCTCGAAATCTCCGCCTTGGATATTCTCGGATGATAGTATCCTTGGTCGATTTAAGTTTTCCGTCTCCACTAGCGCTCAAGTTCCCTTTCGTCATCATTTCCTGACATGCTTACTTTCCAAAATCGGATGTGGTAGAGTAGCTTCCCCAATATCCGGCTGATTGTAGTCGCTAGTGGCTCGAAATCTCCGCCTTGGATATTCTCGGATGATAGTATCCTTGGTCGATTTAAGTTTTCCGTCTCCACTAGCGCTCAAGTTCCCTTTCGTCATCATTTCCTGACATGCTTACTTTCCAAAATCGGATGTGGTAGAGTAGCTTCCCCAATATCCGGCTGATTGTAGTCGCTAGTGGCTCGAAATCTCCGCCTTGGATATTCTCGGATGATAGTATCCTTGGTCGATTTAAGTTTTCCGTCTCCACTAGCGCTCAAGTTCCCTTTCGTCATCATTTCCTGACATGCTTACTTTCCAAAATCGGATGTGGTAGAGTAGCTTCCCCAATATCCGGCTGATTGTAGTCGCTAGTGGCTCGAAATCTCCGCCTTGGATATTCTCGGATGATAGTATCCTTGGTCGATTTAAGTTTTCCGTCTCCACTAGCGCTCAAGTTCCCTTTCGTCATCATTTCCTGACATGCTTACTTTCCAAAATCGGATGTGGTAGAGTAGCTTCCCCAATATCCGGCTGATTGTAGTCGCTAGTGGCTTGAAATCTCCGCCTTGGATATTCTCGGATGATAGTATCCTTGGTCGATGTAAGTTTTCCGTCTCCACTAGCGCTCGAGTTCCCTTTCGTCATCATTTCCTGACATGCTTACTTTCCAAAATCGGATGTGGTAGAGTAGCTTCCCCAATATCCGGCTGATTGTAGTCGCTAGTGGCTTGAAATCTCCGCCTTGGATATTCTCGGATGATAGTATCCTTGGTCGATGTAAGTTTTCCGTCTCCACTAGCGCTCGAGTTCCCTTTCGTCATCATTTCCTGACATGCTTACTTTCCAAAATCGGATGTGGTAGAGTAGCTTCCCCAATATCCGGCTGATTGTAGTCGCTAGTGGCTTGAAATCTCCGCCTTGGATATTCTCGGATGATAGTATCCTTGGTCGATGTAAGTTTTCCGTCTCCACTAGCGCTCGAGTTCCCTTTCGTCATCATTTCCTGACATGCTTACTTTCCAAAATCGGATGTGGTAGAGTAGCTTCCCCAATATCCGGCTGATTGTAGTCGCTAGTGGCTTGAAATCTCCGCCTTGGATATTCTCGGATGATAGTATCCTTGGTCGATGTAAGTTTTCCGTCTCCACTAGCGCTCGAGTTCCCTTTCGTCATCATTTCCTGACATGCTTACTTTCCAAAATCGGATGTGGTAGAGTAGCTTCCCCAATATCCGGCTGATTGTAGTCGCTAGTGGCTTGAAATCTCCGCCTTGGATATTCTCGGATGATAGTATCCTTGGTCGATGTAAGTTTTCCGTCTCCACTAGCGCTCGAGTTCCCTTTCGTCATCATTTCCTGACATGCTTACTTTCCAAAATCGGATGTGGTAGAGTAGCTTCCCCAATATCCGGCTGATTGTAGTCGCTAGTGGCTCGAAATCTCCGCCTTGGATATTCTCGGATGATAGTATCCTTGGTCGATCTAAGTTTTCCGTCTCCACTAGCGCTCAAGTTCCCTTTCGTCATCATTTCCTGACATGCTTAGTACTTTCCAAAATCGGATGTGGAAGAGTAGCTTTACCAATATCCGGCTGATTGTAGTCGCTAGTGGCTTGAAATGTCCGCCTTGGATATTCTAGGTGGCTGAAAGAATGTGTGTGTTAGCGATACAATCGTTTTCATCCTATCTGTACTGAAGGCCGTGTTATTTCCCCTTCTGATGATGGATGCAAAAAAACCTAGGCAATACCGGTATCAAGACTTGTATCCAACGTCTTCGTGCATGACTGCGCGCACTGGATTTGAATTGTATCGCACGGTTCACCGTCACGCGAATCTCGTCATGATTACATCCCCCCTTTTTGTTAATCTGCGAACAAACCTCCTTTTTGCCTGGCCAATCTAGAGAGGGACATCTATTGTGACTCCTTCTATTGTAAAAGTGCATTTATTTTGTAGTGCGTAATTTAAAAACGAAGACTATAGAATCTATTTGCCTTTTTGAATTATAGAATCTATTTGCCTTTTTCAATTATCTGTAGTTGAAGGTAGTCGTTCACGACCTGTAGGTATGTGATTTGTCCCATCTCGTAGTCGACAAATGGGAACGAATCCTTCTGGACAAGGCCACAGTAGAAGAAACAACAGAGGGAGTTCCAGGCATAACCAACCTGGTGTTCGACTGTGCCTTCGTAGGCAGACGGGAGAGTCAAGTACGGAAACTCCATCATTTTTTGGCACTGTGCCTCCAGAAGCTCTTCAACTTTGGCCAGGAATCGGTCAGTGGCACCTTTGCGACGTATGTTGTTCAAATAGGATAGTGGAGTAGATGCAAACAAATCTTTCGCCGGCCTTCTCTTGGATGGTTTCGCCTGTCTAACTTTTTCATCCCACCATTTCATGTAATCAGCAATGTGCTCAGGGATGATTAGCCCACCGCGGTACATCCTGTCGAGTACCTTTTCTTTTTGACTTCTAACCCGACCGATGGCCACACCAATAATTCTGATGACTTGTAGTGTCAATAGCTTGTCGTTCCCGGCGGTGACAGCCCCGAAGTATGTAGATAGGGGGATATTTTTTTCAACAAATGCTTCCCAGAGCACCTCTTGCGCAACAGAGGAAGCAGTCATGTCCCAAGGCCAACGTAGACCGGATCCAGGGTAAGGCGGGAAGTTATCGAACCACGTTTCGCGTCCAGCGTGCAGCGTGCAGTGCATTTCATTTTTTTTGCTGCACCCTGCACGCGTGTTTAAAGTCGATAGCACAAAACCGGAAAAATCGTGCATGCATGCACCTCAAAAAAAGGGCAGTCGTATTGGTCGTACATCAATTACTTTTGTACTATAATTTTATTTTGGCATAGTAAGTACCGGTACAGTTATGTTGAATTGCATGGCATCATAACCAACGACGAATTCTGATAGCTGAGCGTCGTACCTGCCGCTCATCATGTCACCCGATCCCTCAAGCTCAGACTCATCAATGTCATGGGATTCATCAAGCTCCTCAAGTCCCTCCTCAAGCTCAAAATCATCCATATCATCGGAGTCTTCAAAAAGCTCCTCAAGCTCCTCAGATGATTCCTCAAGCTCTTCAAGTGACGAAATGGATATCTCTGCCTGCTCCCAGGATTCTTTACTCAATATTCCTGACGAATTGCTGTTCGAAGCCTACCTGAGGAGGGCAAGCAAGATCAACTACACAGTCTTCGAATTCGGCTGCTAGTAAATTCTCTTCTTGAATTTTAGCTCCCTCAGTACTTCTTGGTGTTGTAGTTGTAGTTGGTGTTGATGTTGGTGTTGCTACTTGTCGAACTCCCACATCGTGTGTTGCCAGAACGTCGCTTCCGCCGCATTCCTTGGAACAGTACCAGTGACCGTCTTCCTTGCTAATTGACATCAACATATTTTCCTGTACACACAAATTGTGGACTCCGCATTTACATTGAATGCAAGCATGATTCGGATGGAGAGAATCATGTTTGCAGTTTCGGATGCTGCAAAAGCCATTCGAATGTGATACTGCAACTTTGGCCCAAACTCTTCTACCGACTAATTTGGCGGCAGTATTTTGGCCACTGGGTGGCAATCCTTTGGCTCTACTTTTTTGTTTGTTCAAACCAATGTTGTGATGAAGGTTATCATCTTCCTCGCTATCAGAGTCTAGTGCAAAAATTGACACGGCATTAGTCATGGTAAACTAGTGAAAAGAGCAGAAGATCAAGTGCTATGAAGTCTTTTCGTATTTTGATGTGAATTGTGAGTTGAGGTCTTCGAAACCATTATTGAGAATTGGCCAATCAAAATCGTTCGATTTCAAAATGCACCGTGCATGGACAATCGTCCAGCATGAGCCAAAATGGATGCAGCTCAAGGGGGGTACCCGGAAGTAACTGTCCAGCGTGGAAAAATTCACGCTGCATGCATCATTTTTGGTTGGATAACTTCCCGCCTAAACGTTGGGAAACGTGAAATGGTGGACGATTTTGTCAGTGTGCTTTTCGGTGTGTGCCTGGAGTTCCTGGAGCTCCGCATTCCATTCCCTATCGCTGCGGAAGCTGGATCTGTACTCGGAGTACGTATCCATCAACCCAAATCCATATTTGCTATTAAACCTACGAAGGCATAAATTGCAACGGGCCATTCCTTGACAGACGACACCATCGCCTTGCCATTTGTGTCGCATGCCGCCACTGGTTGTCACCAGCCAAGGGATACCTTGCTTTGGTGGCAGCTCGTCTAGCCAGCGAAAGTATGGATCCTTTTCGTACTCGCTAGTCTTTTCAATTTGGCGATAGCTGTACTGGTAACACCAACCGCTAACGTCAATCTTATCAATCACAGTGGTAGTGAGGTTAGCCGACTTTGCCCGTAGTTCTTCATTTTTTTTCCGAATTAACTCATTGGTCGCCTTTGCGTCGCGTCTTACTAGTAGATTGTTGGATGGAGGCAATTTCTTCAGGATACCAGCTTCTTCCACTGCCACGCCATGTTCACCCTTAAGACACACCTCCTCGACCAGACTCGAGCTTGGGCGTATGAACAAAATGGAATCGCGCACAAAGTCAATGACAAATCCCTTGTCATGTCGTGCATTCCCAAACACTTCGGTCGCATCCCTCTTGGATACAGATACTTCCATGCCAACCCATAAAATTGAGCTCCCTTTGACTTCTCTCTTTTTCGAGGCAAGGATTGGTGGAATTCCTTGTTCAGCTGCTTGCATGGCATCGGGAAGACTGGTGAACACCTGACTTGGCAGGATTTCTTCTGATACTACCATTCCTTTGCTCCCCCCCCCCACTATCGTTTTCTTTGGATCCATCCAATGTTAGGACAGGGGAGGGACCGTTTTCGTGAACGTCATAGCCTTGTGCAAACAACCGAAGAGAAAAAGAGGAATAAACCCTAGGTGGCATAATGGGATGTGGTGGGCATATATATATTTTTTTCTTTCTGTCTCGCTCTCTGATCTGGGGTGTTATCGGGCAAGAGGTACCGACGTCACTTCTTCGCTTTCTTGAGCTCTCATTCCTTGGTGTCGTTCCAAAGTATGTACTGTACAAACACTTGCCGGGGAGACTATGCCCGAGTATCCCGTCTGCGTTTCTTACAAACGTCATGAACCGAGTTTTAATCTTTTCCTTTTGTGGATTGGAACCCATTTCCTTAAATAGTTCCCCATTGATTAGGTAGTGAGAAGGGCCGAAAGAGAACCGGAGTTCTACAGAGCCATCCGCGGTCCGATGAACCAACGGGATGAACTGGTCCTCACGGCCACTTGGATCACCTTCCAAACCAACTAGGAGCTCTTGGAATACACCGGTGACTGTAAAAGTATCTTTCAGATCGTATACTTTTGGATCGACGCCATACCTTTTTTTTTCGGCTGGAAAAAAAGAATCCTGAAAGAGTAGGTACAGCTGTGTCAGCTGTTTGGTGGTTGTCATCCTACCGTTTGTTTTGCGGGTTTTTGGTGATGATGATGTGAAAACAATGCCAGAAAAAAAAAGGCAAAACCCGCAAGGTTCTGCTTATCCAAGTGAGATGGGGGTGTCTTCCCGGGAAGACACACTTTTCGAAACCAAAGTTCAACTAAAAAAGTACTTATCCAAGTGAGATGGGGGTGTCTTCCCGGGAAGACACACTTTTCGTAACCAAAGTTCAGCTAAAAAAGTACTTATCAAAGTGAGATAAACAAAAGTTCAACTAAAAAAGTACTTATCCAAGTGAGATGGGGGTGTCTTCCCGGGAAGACACACTTTTCGTAACCAAAGTTCAACTAAAAAAGTACTTATCAAAGTGAGATAGGGGTGTCTTCCCGGGAAGACACACTTTTCGAAACCAAAGTTCAACTAAAAAAGTACTTATCCAAGTGAGATGGGGGTGTCTTCCCGGGAAGACACACTTTTCGAAACCAAAGATCAACTAAAAAAGTACTTATCAAAGTGAGATAGGGGTGTCTCCCCGGGAAGACACACTTTTCGAAACCAAAGTTCAACTAAAAAAGTAATTATCCAAGTGAGATAGTTGGTAGGCGGAGACGGTGCCTAGCTAGAAGAAACTCAAAGAGTATTGTATTTTATTATTCGTATTCGATTTCAATATGTATTTTATTATTCGTATTCGATTTCAATATGTATTTTATTATTCGTATTCGATTTCAATATGTATTTTATTATTCGTATTCGATTTCAATATGTATTTTATTATTCGTATTCGATTTCAATATGTATTTTATTATTCGTATTCGATTCGATTTCATACGTATTTTATTATTCGTATTCGATTCGATTTCATCATACGTATTTTATTATTCGAATTCGATTACCTTTTCCAGGTTGTCAACTATCCAGAAAGTAAGTGTGTTTTCAGCGAATCCTTGTAATTCCCGAAATTTAGGTGTACTTTCGGGAAAGTTGATAATCGGGTAACCCGGATGAAACCATACGAACAGAAGGGATTGTTTGGGAAATGGCAAGGGTGTTGAGAGATACCCCATCCTTGTACAAAAAAGAGGAGCCATCTTTCGAAGTTTCTCTAGGTTAGGGAAGGGATGTCAGTGATGGAGGCACAGGGGAGACAGCAAAAACTTTGAAGACAAGATGAAAGTTATGATGACGATGACGACGACGATGACGACAACATTTTCTTTGCTCAAAAGAGAAGAGGAAATGAAAGCATAGTAATAGCAAACAGCGACATACTACTGTAACGAAAATAAGAATACTTTTGTTTTGTGTCCTGATGAATTTCTGGTGGGCGATTGTATATCCTGGAAGCCATCCACAGTTCTTGGTGTTGTGTGTTGTGTGTGCGGCGGTAAAAAGGGGAAATTTGGTGCAAATACAGTGAAAACTATGTTTTGAGGGGGAAAAAGGAGACCGATTTTTTGATCGCAGTTTTCGGATTAATCCTGTAAGTCAATTATAGATAGTCAGCTTTGGGAAGATGGTTGTTTTTTACAGGGGGTATGGGGTACTGGATTAGTTACAATTAGTTTAGGTCTTCCCGGGAAGACAGTCGTCTGTCGTCTGGGTGTTCGATGAGGTACTAAATTAGGTGTGGTCAATATTTTGGGAGGGGCGTTGCGGGAAAAATTCCGGTGCACTCGACGACGGAACCAAAACCACGGTGCACCCGGGGCGTATGTAGAAAAGGTACCGGTGCACCAAATTCACTCAAAGAACCCATGATTCGTACCGGTACACTACCTACCTTTTATTTTTAACAGTCCGTCCGTCACTCAGCCCTGCATTCTTGCTCGGGGACGCAGTAGTAGTGCCTAAGTCACAATCAGTAGAATCAAAATACATCCCATATGAAAATTTCTACCTCAGGTCATTTGCTTCAATCCTTGCCAGGTCGCATACTTTCAAAACACTATACTCAGGAGTTATAGCCCATCTAAGGTTACAGGTGGCTGCTTGTTTGTTCTGGAATTTACTGTATCTCTGACCTTATATGAGCTATAGCCCCTGATCATAGCATTTTGAAAGTTTGCGACCTGGCCAGGATTGAAGCTAAGGACGTAAGGTAGAGGTTTTATATGGGATGTATTTTGATTCTACTGATTGTGACTTGGGTACCGGTACTGGCACAATTACTGCTTTCCCCGAAGTTCTGTATTTTTTGTAGGGCTGAGTGACGGACGGACTTTTTAAAAAAAAACTTTTATACCGGGAACGGCCGGGAACAGTGGTCCGACTAGTCATTTCACACGTACTTGCCACCTTGCGATTGGAATCTTGCAGGCGGAATCTTTAAAAATCAATGAAGTGACCATCTCGACCCGAAAGTCCACACGCGAGCAGTCAAAATAAGACGAATCGGGTAGCAAAGGGTGGAAGACGACATATAAGAAAAAAGTATGCCCGTCCTCGTTAAACATTTCTCGTTTTCCTGATTAGGGACAACTTCACCAATGACTACCGGTAGGTCCTATGTATTAGTGAAGGCTCATATATATATGAAGTCAGACGCGCGGTCCATCTGCTTACGGCTCGATTTGCTCGGCAGTACAGGCAGCACAGTTGGCTGTGGTCAGATTGACATGGCTCGATTGGCTCGTGGTCAAATTGACCACGGCTTGACTGGCTCGTGGTCAAATTGACCACGGCTCGACTGGCTCGTGGTCAAATTGACCACGGCTCGATTGGCTCGTGGTCAAATTGACCACGGCTCTACTGGCTCGTGGTCAAATTGACCATCCAATCAAATCATCCCACTGAAAATCCCGATTCTCAAGCATGTTGAATGTTGGCGCGCGGGAAGCCCGCAATTAATCATCGCAAAACGGTTGTGAAAAGTCGCAAGTCACAACAACGGCACAAAGTACGCACTGGTACAACGAAACGCTCATCCATGACCAAGCAACGTCAAAAGTCATCGCCCATGTTTCACAATAAGGTCCAAATGGTGGGACTCCTCAACAATCAGCGACTATGGCCGATCTTCCAAGCTTCTCTTGAACGATTTTTCTCACAATCTGTGCAATATGGCAGGAATCAAGGCAAATTCATTTCCAGGGTCCACTGCTGTTGCGGTACAGAAGAAAGCAAACAAGCGTGGAATGGAACCCAGCTGTTTGGATCTTCACAAAGCAAAGAGACCCAAGCAAACTAAAAAGGAGAAGAATGAGCGCCATGTCAAAAATATGCCTACTATCCAAACAAGTGAGGAATACGGAATTATCTTGAAGCACGTCTGTTTGGCTTTGGAGATGGAAAAAAAACAGAAGACCGATGCACCAATCTCCGTCAAACAATTTGCTGCTACGTATCTAAAAGAAGCACCAATCGATTCAAAGATCAAGAGTATTGCGTTGGGCATTGTAGGGAATTGGACGGAACTGCTACCTTTGCAATCTCCAGAATCACAAATCATTGAGCTTTGAAATTCGAGACCAACACTACAGCAGAAATATCATCGGTTCTGCCAAGTATGATGCGACGAATACCAGCATCCTATTAATAAGCTAGATATGTACGGAGACAAATAATTTAACGAATAAGTGCTAGATCGAAGTTCCAGCTAGAAGTCTTGTAGCTTCATCGATCATATCAGAGGGCGGCTCCGGATCCTCTTCAATGGGACGACACTCTTCAGGTGGTTCAATGTTGTTGTCAAGGAATTCCTTTGCAAGGGCCCCAAGACGATGTCCTCTTGTGCGAAAGTTGACCATTGGTCTTAGTCTATTGTAGCACCTCTGGTGGTTGACACTACCAGGAGGACCAGATGCAAGGTTGAATCCGTAGTGCGGTACTGTTGGATCTCCTTCTCTTTCGGCGGCGCTCTTGAAGCCATCATAGTACATGAAAAATATAAAGAACTCCATCACATCCTTGCCAGCCAATTCATCCTCAAACTTCTTCATGGGAGTTCTCTTGTCTTTGCGATCCTCGACCATTTCATGGATCTGTTCCGCAGTGAAAGTGGGTCTTTGGTCCATCGGTGGGATGATTTCGCCTTCTTCCGATTCCTTGGTAGCAAGGAATGCAGTTGCAAGTAGAGCAAGCTTTTTACCCTTGCTTCGAAACTGGTCCTTGGTATAAACTTCACCAACTCCTCGTCGGTGAGTTGTACTGCCAGGTGGTTTGAGGATGTTGTACCCTTGCTTTCCACCGGAGTTGAAGCCAAGGTAGTAGTTGAAGAAGATTTCCCTGTCAACGTCAGAATCAATCTTGCGATACCGATCCATGACGGATGGGTTATATTCTTTACTGCACTTGGTCCTTGGCATTGTTGGTCTTCTTGGCTTTGTGTGATGAAGAAGGGAAGACTGCTTTGGGCGATTGATTCCATTCGGACCTCAACTGCCGCTGATGAGAGAGCCACGATCCAGGAATTGATGTCAAAGTGATTACGTGAAGTTTTTTGGGCGATAGAAAAATGAATGAACATCATATAGATTTGTAGTTGAACATAAATAAAATTCAATTCTGGGGAAAACGTTTGAGACACAAGAATGACATCCTGAGACGCAAGATTGACATCCCGCAATCTAAAACACGAACGAAACTGATGAGGTGATTTTTCTCACAAACTCCGAAGCTCACCTCACAATGTCAACTATCGACAAACAACAAAGCGATCTATCAAACCTTCCGGAACAGGAACAATTGATATTTCTATTTTACAACTGTGAGGTGAGCAGCCATCCATTCGTTCAGCATGACAAGATTGGTGGATCGACCCACTACAAGATTATAAAATCCCTTGCTAACCAACATCCTTCGATCCGCTTTGATATGACCAGACCAAGTTTCAATCGAAAAGCAAAAGAAATCATGAAGATGGCAGAAGCAGCAAAACAGCTACGAAGTGGTGGAAAAGTTTCATTGAGCGCAACAATGAAAAAGAAGAATGAAGCGATCGCAAAGCTCGGTGGGAAGGCGGAAGCAATTCTTGACTCTCCTCCAGCTCCACACCTGTATTCACAATGGGTCCACTCCGAATATGTTCCAGGCACTCAGAAGACTAAGAGTGTTGTTGTGACCATGCATCGGTTTCTGATGTTCAGCATGGTGACCATCGGTTCCTTCAAGAAAGAATGGGAGACGGCTCGCCGACTCCGTATCGAGGTTGCATTCCCAGCGTACTTCACCAATGGCCTTGTCACCAGTGCGACGCTTGTGGACAGCAAAGGGATGAAGTTGATGGAAGGGGACCATGCTGCTATATCCGCTGGCTTTGAACGTAGTGCGAAGGAGCAGACCGAGCCTGGCAAGAAGCAACCTCACAGTACCTTCTACATCACATACGAAGAAGACCAAGATACGAAGGAATTCTTCGATATAGGCGAGGGTCATAGAGGTTTCTACCTTCAACCTGGAAAGGCCAGGAGGGCCGATGGGAAGATTTGCGACTTTGAGGAGCTGTGCGTTGTCACCAAGGAGTACTTTGAGGAAGAAGAGGATCCTGATGCAGATGAGATCATAGAAAGAGCTCATGAAGCTGCAATTTTTGATCCACAAAGCATGTGGGGCGGAGCAAATGCAAATGCAAATTCAAATCACGCGCCAGCCAATAACGCCAACGGTTCTCAGAATTCAAACAATAACTTCCACCACAATAATGTCCAGCAACCTACCAGTACGCATACTGCCAGGACGGCTACCACCACCAACACCTCCTTCGCTCCACCGCCACAAGCCAACCACACGGTCCAGCAACCTACACATACCACCAAGACGGCTACCACCACCAACACCTCCTTCGCTCCACAGCCACAAGCCAACCACAATGTCCAGCAACCTAGATACACCGCCAAGACAGCTACCAACAACAACGTCTCCTTTGTTCCACAGCCAAATGCTGGTGTTCAACATCCTACAAGCGCCGCTTCCGACATGGAGAAAATGATGCAAGCAATCACAATGCAAATGGCACAGATGCAAGCAAACCTAACAGCACAGATGCAGCAGCAGGAGCAACGAGTGCAGCAGCAAGTGCAGCAAGTGAATCAGCATGTGCAGCAGCAAGTCAATCAGCAAGTGCAGCAGCAAGTCAATCAAGTCAATCTGGGATTGCAGCAGCAAGTGCAAACTACAGAGCGTTCTATTGCTAATTACTTGCAAGAAAACCAAACACGCGTTGATGCACGAGTTGATACTTTGAGTGATGTTGTTGCTAAAAAGCCAGCGTCCCGGCCTCAGCAGAAAAGACTTGCTGCTGATTCGGCGCAGCTTTCAGTCACCAGCAAAAGCAAAAGAGCAAGGCAATCTATTGTATCTGGTGGAGACGAGGATGATGACAGTTTGTTCTCCGATACCTCACAAAACTTCGTACCAACCGTCCCCGACAACATTCAAGTTCAGACTGTGGCGACCATTCAGACTTGAGTAAGTGACGGAAACGAAACATCCCTTGACAGTGACGAATGGGAGGACAAGTTACCCATCGTGAATGACGAAGACTGTATTCAGCTGATTGATGGCTTTGAAAATGAGATCAACACTACTATCGAGTGGTTTGATGGATACATAGTTGGAATTAATGGTCTTTAGAATACATATTTATATGTGAGCGAATGACTCTAGGACTAATAGCTGTACTTATTTGATATATCATCGTGCCATGTATCAGCAGGGCACGAATTTGCTTTTGACTGTATAGGATTTCGCGTATGTCGTCGAAATTTCAATACTAGTTGTAGATGCGATGTCAAGTAGAACATCTCCATACTAATTGTAGATGTATTATACCTATAATAATAGTATTAAAAATTGTACTAGTAGTATGTAGCACCATATTCTACAGTATTTCGACGACCTCCTTGGTCATGTCGCATTTGACAGATGACAGCAACAGCTTCGAAGCAGCATTTGTGCTTTGTCAAAGGATCATGGCGAAAGACTTGATCAAGAACTGCAAATTTCTTCAGCTCTCCATTCACATTTTCGTGCCGGGCCCTTGCCTTACTTTTTTGCTTACCTGCCTTCTGAGTTTGGTACATCTTGGGGTTCTTCAACTCATCAAGGCCTTGGTATCCCATGTCAACCTCGACACATTCATTGTCACACAAAGCGTTCATGAGACCATCTTCTTCAAATATTGTCTTGTCATTTTTGCCTGCCTTGAAAGGGCCGTTCACCCAAACTATTACACCGGTTGCAATGCAAATACCGATTTCGTATTTGTAGCCTGGTCCATTTAACTTCTTGGAGAAGATTGCTTCATCGAAGGGCCATGGTTCTTGGATGGCACAGTCCACTCCGTCAACAGTTATGACACAAACTGTCTGGTGATCCCATTCTTCAAATCGCCGTATCCATTTAATCTGTATCGCACAAACTGAGGTGAGCGCTTGTAAAAGGGGGAATAGAATAGACGGCAAATAGACTTACAACATCAACTCTTTGTGCAGCGATTGCTGGAATGAAGATCCAAACCCATTTTCGGAATGTTTTTGGGTCCACAAAACCAACTAGCCGAACCATTACCGGTTCAGAACAGTAGTTCTTCAGAAAGCAAAGCGTCCATAAGAGGTGGTTTGGATGAGCCTCTTGTGGAATCTGATCGTTTTCCAGTGGATTGATCATGTTCCACAGCTCAGCAGCCACTCTGTATGGAGTACCAATCAGAGACTCGCAGATTTCCTTGTCCAGGGCAGCATTTGTTTTATTCTTATTGGCATTGGGATTCCCAAAAAGATCCCTTGCGAGCTCACCACAAAGTTCTTCGGACAGAGATGGGAATAGCATGTCTTGTCATTTTTTGTGAAATGAAGTGAAATCGTATTTTGGCTTTTGGCGATTATCGCCAAGTTATATGACGCGTCATCATCAATCGACACCAAATTTTCACGATTGATCACCCATCCGTTGATTTTGTGAGAGGCAATACCGTATCTTGCCAAGTGACAAAACAACAAACTGGGACAAGAACATGATGTGGGTTGAGGCTCATAATATTGAAACTGTTCCGCAATATGCCAGCTACCATCAAAGCCCATCGTGCAAGTCGTGTGATTGTCAAGAAAGACACCAAGAAGGTGGCAAAGATTCTTGCTGGTCATAAGAAAGCTGCATTCGAGAGCCACATGTTTGTCACAAAGATGACACAGATTCTTGCGGCCAAACAACAAGGACTTCCTGCCAAAGATCACATGGTTGTAAAAAGCTCCAAGCATGCCCAGAGGGCGGCAGCATTCCGCCGTAAACAAAAAGAAGATGGCAAGCAATCCATGCTTGTCCTGTCAAACAAGCCATGTGTTGGACCAACCGAAGCTGAAGTGAATGAGTGGTTTGAAGACAAAAGGGAGCGACAAGAGGAAGCTAAATATATTCACCAAGCCTTCAAGGTATGGCACAAGTTCTCTTCCGACGAACAGCCTCCCCTCAACTCTTTTATGTGTCAATATCTACTGTGTGTCTCTTGCAATGCCAATGTGGTTAGAGCCGCTTTCCGCCTTTTCGGGAAGGACTTCCAGAAGTATCTCACTGAACTTCGCCCAAGGGATTTGGCGTTTGGCCAAGAATATAACATTGCCCATCTCTGAACCTAATTGAGGCTCATCATGGTTTAACTTTTGTAGTAACGGCAGTTTAAGATAGTTATAGCGTTCTAGTCATTGAAATCTGAAGCAAGAACATACAGTTGCAACTCCTTGCAGACTACAGTAGATTAATCGCAAATTGAAACTACTAAAAAAGGCTATAGCTACTGAAGCCGCGTTCACTGTGCTGCTGATTGGGACTGCAAAGGATTACACCACTACTGGTAGTATCCTCTCCAAAGGGAATCATAATCGCCGGAGCAGGTCTGTAAATTATCTATTCCAATAGCTTTGTGAAACTTTGCAGGCCTTCTTCTTCGAAACAATGCGGGCTCTTATTCGGTTTTGCTTTTTCGCTTTTTCCTTTTGAGATCCACTTGACAATATACGCTACACAACGGTCTGCTCAATCTACCAGAGACTCGGTACAGCCTTCTTCCTCGAAGATCATGAATGGCCATCCATTCTGTGTGTCCAGCTCCGCCTTCCAAACCATCCTCGCATTTTGCTGCTGTACTCGTGTCTCCAGGATATTGGATTTCAACATGCCTATGCTCTATCAAGATCTCATTTGGCGCAGTGTCGAGCTACCTGTGAGTTTGTTGTAGCGTGTCTTGTTTGTTGTCGCGTGTCCTATACATCCCCTCATCAGTTCTATCATCATCAGCCAGTCGCCTTCTTTTGATGTCTTCATCGTCATCTGTTCTATATCTGTGTCATGTTCAGTTTCTAATGACTGATTCGAATTTTCCTGTTTCTCTGCAGCTGTTGTATAGTCTGCTAACATCTCTCCAACACCATTTCTTTGCCGCAGCTGATACTCAGTTTTCGAAACCACTGTGAGCGTTTGGACTCTGTCCAAGAATATGATGGTCAATTTGACCATCCAATCATAATGTATGACATTTTCCGTGTATATCATTGGATGGTCAATTTGACCATCCAATCATATCGTCTGACTTTGTTTAATTTATGATTGGATGGTCAATTTGACCATCCAATCATAATGTTTGACATTTTCCATGTATATCATTGGATGGTCAATTTGACCATCCAATCATATTGTCTGACTTTTACCAATTATGATTGGATGGTCAAATTGACCATCCAATCATATTGTCTAACTTTGTACAGTATATGATTGGATGGTCAAATTGACCATCCAATCATATCGTCTGACTTTTACCAATTATGATTGGATGGTCAAATTGACCATCCAATCATATTGTCTAACTTTGTACAGTATATGATTGGATGGTCAAATTGACCATCCAATCATATCGTCTGACTTTTACCAATTATGATTGGATGGTCAAATTGACCATCCAATCATATTGTCTAACTTTGTCCAAGCATATGATTGGATGGTCAAATTGACAATCCAATGATATCGTCTGACTCTGATTAATTCTGATTGGATGGTCAAGATGACCATCCAATCATATTGTCCAGGTATATGATTGGATGGTCAAATTGACCATCCAATCATATCGTCTGAAGGCACGTCGGCCATCGGCTTTTGTTCAAGTATGATTGGATATTGCCTGGAGACCCACGTGCCCTTCGAGCTTTATCCAAGTATGATTGGATGGTCAATTTGACCACGGCTCGATTGGCTCGTGGTCAATTTGACCACGGCTCTACTGGCTCGTGGTCAATTTGACCACGGCTCGATTGGCTCGTGGTCAATTTGACCACGGCTCGACTGGCTCGTCAGTAATTTGAACTAGAGGCTGCTGGCTCGGCATCGAAAATGAAACCACACAGCCTTCGTCAAGTTCGTCACTGGCTGGCTCGTCATGAGTCTGACCCACGCTCAGACTGACCTCTGCGTGTGAAGCATTATAACAAATTTCTCCTTTACTTATTACATCGTTCTGGATGGTGGCACTGGAACAAAAGGGACGAAGCTTGGTGCTATTAAACTAGTTTTTGGCTCCACTCCTGCGACGGAGATGACAGTCTTCTTCTTTGATCTTTTGGCGAGCGGAATCGGACCGTACTTCGAAAATCCAAATTTTTGAATTCCGCGACTCAGATTCCTTTTCCATTCTTTCTCCAAACCTTTGGCCGACTACCCCGACCCCCGTTCCCGGCCGTTCCGGTACGAGCATCTGTTCGTAAATAAAAAAGTGGCTTCAACTGCTGTCGTTATTGTGTATTTTAATTAACCAGCATCTGTTCGATCATTAAATTGCCTACGATTGTACATGTACACGTACGTGTACACGTACCACAAACGATCGTGGAGAAAGACCTTCCTTGCTTCAGGTAGAATCATCGTATGGTCCACGCGCGCGGGAGACATCTTTAGATAAAACAAGCTGGACTCGTTCTTGCTTCCTCCTTCGATGTACCGGTAATTGATAACAAGTTGATCATCGGTATGTAACTTCCTTCAGAGTTTGCCAATGGATAATGGAGAAGGCAAACAAGCAAATCAATACTACTGTGTCTTTCTGAAGCTTTTAAGCAAAAGCTGATTTGTTTGACTGTCTTACGCCCAGAACATTTTGCCTTCCCAGTTATCGGAACCGGTTTGGAATCTCTACAGTACAGTACTCGAGTGCTTTTCACAACCCTGCAGTTACTCACACTCCTTTCATCTGTTTTGCAAGAATCTATTCCCGCTATCTGTTTTCCGGAGCCTCTTTTGTGACTTCTGAATAATTATACTTCGCGTCGTTTGTAATTCTTCGCAAACAAGCTTTTCTTCTCATTCACAAAATGTCTCATGCTGTCCGCAATCCTGTAGCAGACCCAACTGCTATTGCGCCACCAGTTGCTGCATCGGTAAATCCCGATATTCCTACCTCTGCTACTGTTACAAGCCATCGCAATTTGACCCGAGTTGGCGAATCAGCAAAGCATGATTACGCCAAACAGGTGCCTGGTACAAAGTTGATTGTAGGCGCTTCTCCGGCAGCCCAAGCAACCGCGAAGTCTTCCAAGTCAAAGAAGAAGAAATCTCAAGTCATCGTTACGATGGCAACTGCCACTACTGCACAGGCAGGTGCCCAGGGCTCTCAAGGAGAAAACACAGGTCGTTGGACGGCAGAGGAGCATCGATTGTTTCTTCAAGGCCTCGAACTTCACGGGAAGGGATGGAAGAAAATTGCCTCACTTATCAAGTCCAGAACTGTGGTGCAGATTCGGACTCATGCGCAGAAGTACTTTCAGAAGCTTGCCAAGGCAAGGCAAAACGGAGAAGAAGGCGATGTTCCTATGGAGGGTCGTGGAGGAACAGCAGCTTTGCCCTCGGTCTCATCTGCGGCTGGTCATTCTAGCAAGCGTCGACGACAAACTTCTGGAACAAAAAGAAAAGCGATTCAATCTGTTGTCTCCTCAGCACAACGACAGGGAAAGAAGATTGGTGCTGGACCGGCAACCCCAACTCCCACTCTGCCATCAGTTGCACCGGCTCTTGCCCCGTACGTCGTAACCGAGGCAACCATAGAGGCAGGAACCACCCAGCCTTTACCGTCTATAACGACTGCGCAGGGGACAATTTCTGGTCACGCTCTAGAAGATTCGCTGTACGTCAAGATGCCCATGCTTGTCTCCACTCAAGTTTGTTGCGTTTACTAACACTCGTTGACACAGGTTTCGATTCCTCACTCCAGCCCCTGTTTCAATATCAGAGCCTCAACTTAATGAAGTTGCTCGTCAAGCAGGGGCAAATCCAATAACTCTACCAACGGATCAAGTAAGAAATATCCATGAAGTTGGAGAAGTATCTCCCACTGGAGTAGCTGATTTTGCGATGTATCCATCATGGACCGATGCCAAGGACACGCCGTCCTGGTACGCCAAAGGTTCAGATGTAGATGCTTTGTTGGACGTCGCAGATACTCTTGACTGGCTGACAGACACTGGCGATTTGCAGGAAACATACCAGGCTTCACATTCTTCGGATCAACGTACCTCAGTCAACGATCAGGAACCAAACAAGGTTGAGAACGACATAGCCGGCACCCATTCTGCTCATAATATGAGTTTGAACACATTGCAAGATGGCGATGTTGTTGTGCCACCTCTCCCTTCTCTTTTTGATACCGCAGCTGAACCTGATGAATTGTCTTTGAAGAAGTCGGAAAGTGGTCAATTGACGATGTCGGCAAGTTCGACAACGATTGACGAAGATTTGCAAGTTTTCGACACGCCACTTGAAGAACATGATTTTGTGTCAACTATCCTTGAAGAAACGGGCGATAGCACGAATACTTTGTTGGCATTAGGCTGAGGAGAATGCTTCAACTGTGCAAACATATCCATGAGCTATTTTCATTCCGGTCTACCTTCCGATTAAAAGGGCCAACCCGACCTAAGGATGAAAATTAAATGTTTTGAAATTTTATTCCAAAATAAATTCATTGCTTTTATATATTAGAACTACCTACAGTTCCAGTACTATTAATACCACCTTCATTAGAAAGATTTCTTTTAGATCGAAGTCGTGAGACTTTTTCAGCTCTTTGAAGCCTCAACGCATTCCAACGCTCACTGCACATTTGACTTCCGAACCAACTTTTTTCCGACCCGAGCCAGTTGTAATTTTACGCACAACACAGTAACAGGTTGGGGAAAAAGATGTCTTCTGCTCCATTAAGAGTGGAAGAGAAGCGCTTGGAATCAACGGGTGATCTGCGGGATACTAAGAATTTCGATCATCGTGGCACAGCAGACAATGGCAAAGGGTTCGACTACAGGCTTGAATCTGACATTTTTGCGAATGACAACAATGACGTTGACAAGGACGGGGGGATTGAGTTGGGATACTTACCACCAGATCAAAGACCAGGTATTCCAGGAGAACTGCTGGCGCATCTTGTAGATCCAGAAATTGACGATGATACGGAGGCAGGCGAGGCCTTGCGTGCGAATGCCAACGTGAAAGTGGGGAAGGTGGGAAAAGCAGCACGTGGTTTAAACGCTCAATCTGTGCGCAGATTGGTAAAACGGGCTACTCTGCGTGGTAACAGTGGAAATAAACGCGGCAAGCCTCCAAGAATTCCTCCAGGAATTACGACGGAATCTTCGGGCGATTTCGATATCGAACACGGTGATTTCAACGAAGATATTGACGATGGCCAGGGGTCCTTGTTCAAGGTTGAAGATTTAGATGCCAGTATAGATGATGTTGCTGAACTTGCATCCCTGAGTTCCGATGAAACATCAGGCGGAGGATTGCCAGCAGCTGGTCGCGACAGCCATGACCACCAAGACGCCGACTCATTAAAGTTGGAACAAAGAAATCCTGATGTCAAATCAGAGCGTTCATCGGTGGCAAACGGGGGTGGAATCGAACGTGTAAGTTCCAAACAAGCTAAAGAAGCCAGCCCCGGCGAAGAAGCAGAGGATATTCCTGTTGAAGTCGTTGCTGCAACAATGGAAACTGGCCGAAAATGTAAGTACCAGAATCTCAGAATGTCCTAATGTTTCGAGTTTTATACCTCATTGGAACTGCACTGGCAGTGATGGGTGCCATCGATCCACACAACATGCTCCAGCTACAACGCTGGCGAAGGAAAAATAGGAGAGGAAACAGAAAAACCCGAAAGTCGTATGTCAAAGGGAAGGTGATCGACGGTCGCCACGAATTGTACACACTGTCAATCGCTGTTATGCTTGGAGTGAGGACATCTATTGCCAAAACGAACACGATAATTGCTTCGACAACAAGAGCAAATGCTCTAACAGCGCAGGATTTCATGGCGGAAGAGAAGTATGAATTCGCTCCAAAGGTATGTAGTTGTTTTCGCAAGGATTCGTGAGTGTGGTGTTGGTTATGCATTTTTTCTAACATTTTGCATGATACGATTAGGGCTCTGATATAACACCACCACACAAACTTTCGCACACCTTCAAATTTAAGGATTACGCTCCTTTGGCCTTTGCATACCTCCGGCGTATGTTTGGAGTCAACGAGTTTGACTTTCTGCTATCAGTTTGCGGCAATGCTAATTTTATTGAGTTTATCTCGAATGCGAAGAGTGGTCAGTTTTTCTTCTACTCGAGCGATGGTAAATATATGATAAAAACGATGACAAATGCTGAAAGCAAGTTCTTGAGGAGAAGTGAGTACTGTCCTTTGTTCCCACCTCTCTGCGAATTGCATCCTCATTCCTCACGCCTCTTCCCCATTTAGTTCTGCCACATTACTTTCGGCACTGTGTTCAAAATCCTAATACACTAATTACAAAGTTCTTGGGAATGTATCGTGTGAAGCTGTATCATTTACGTCGAAACGTCAAGTTCGTCATCATGAATTCGGTCTATTACACAGACAAGAGCTTGCAAATATTTTACGATCTAAAGGGTTCTGAAATAGGCCGAGAGGCAAAACCAGGACAAGATGTGCTGAAGGACAACGACTTGAGGAAAATTCTACCAGAGCAGGCCTTTTCATTTCATCCTGATGTCCGGAAACGTGTTAGGCAACAGGTGGTATCTGATTGCTCATTTCTTAGCAGAATGCAGATTATGGATTACTCAATGCTGATCGGAATCCATCACATACCTCCACGACAAGGAAATAACCGCGGGATTCATTCTGAATCTGGTTTTCGTGCATCTGGAATAAAAAATGAACCAAAGCTTCCTGCTCGGGTTTCGAAGGGCCAAGGAGTAGATTCCGAGTCTGCCGCAGCCGCGTCTTTGAATGGAGACTGTAAAGATCCTAGCATCTCGGCTCCAAAACAAGGAAACGCCGAGTCATCAAAGGGAGCGACAAAGGAATTTCACGAGGCTTCGTCAAAAAACTACGAATATCCTCTTGATGAAGACGACGACTGCAGCTATCTCGAGGGATCAATGCCTTCTGGTATGAAAAGTCCATCGCCAAGCGGTGCAAAGATTCAACAGCATCCAGCGCTTGTTGATGTTGAGCTGAAGAAAGAACAAACAATAGAACAGATTTATTGGCCTTTCCACAGATTCTATGATATCAATGGATTGCGAAGGATGCAACCAAGGCAGGCTGCTGACGAGAAGGGCGATCAGCTTGCAAAAGCTTGGAAAATACCAGATTTTATGCCTCCGCTGTCAAACAGAAAAGACGGTGGGCTCATGATGGATACTTCTGGCATTGGTGGGCCAGGGATATTTCACGGGCCAAAAGGCGATCGGCCTCATGAAGGAAAGATATTCTTCATGGGCATCATAGATATTCTCCAGCAGTACAATGCACGAAAGCGAGTCGAAACATCTTATCGCAAGATGGAAAATAGCGAGGGACTCGAGCCAAGCTGTGTAAGCCCAGACGATTATGCTGATCGATTCATCACCTTTTTCGACCAGTATTCACAGACTGCTCGCCCAAAAAATGCCAAGAACGAAGAAAAGACTGAAATAGAGGCCACAATTATTGACAAGAATATGGTCAATGCAGTGAGGATTGATGTAAAAGAGTGACAAATTTGATGTTGATAGCTGTCTCCTTTTGTGTTTTGGTTACAAAGCTCTTTTTATTGCTACCAAAACCATTTGCAAATTCCCTACTTTTCAATTCAGACTAATATTTTTCAAGCACTGCAGGTGTTGGCTAGCAAAGGACGGACTGATTCGAACGCCCTAGTACGTAAGAGAAGAAGGTACAGTAGCAGGGCAGCAAAAAGCTACGTACCAAAGAGGTTGTGAAATATGTTGGTAAACAGTAAAGGAGCCGCAACTGAGTTGCAGCTCATTCCTTTTGAAAAGACTGCTCTGTATTTGACAGAGTGAAATTGAAGTCAAGGAATAGATAGTTATTAAGATTAGGAAAGCACACAGCTCTTCTACCTGTAACACTCATCATCATGACCAATACAGACTTCTCCGTGCGCAAAAAGAGCTACAGCTACCTCACCACCCAGGCAAGCTACCCAAACCATGATTCCAAGGCGGTCCTCGATGCCTTTGATCCCACCAACGACCTTCAGTTGCAAGATCTGAACAGCCTTGTCAAAAAGGATGTGCCCCTGCCTGGTACACGGGATGGCCCAAGGAACAGGAGAACACCTTTAATCTCTGGCATCGGCCGATGATTTGGTACACCACCGTTGGCGAAAAGAAGGAACCGCATTTCGAACATGCTGGACCACGACGTTCTGGAGAACAGGAGCGACCCACTAGCATTTTCTTGGCCAGAAAAGGCCTTCTCAAAAACCAATCCGGTAAAGGTTCCAAAGTTGGAGGCGTGGTTGATAAACAAGGAGCTCGAGCAGGATCACTCCAAGGTGTTCATGATGGAGGATATCACTGACAAATAATAATACTAACTGAGACATTAATCGTTAATATGCTACTCTATGGGCATTCGATTGCCGGTGAAATATTCGGCTGTAAAGGTCAAGTACTGTGAAGCGGTGAGTCAACAACAAGTTTGAACCATTTGAGGCATCT